TGATTTTCCATACCCTCTGCTCCTTGTTTCCCACCCTCCTCCTTTTGCCCTCCCCTCCTTCTCTCCTATTTATTTTGCGTCTGCACATCCTAAACTCAAAACTCTGGTCATCTGAAGAAGTGGGCTGTGCCAACAAAAGCTCATGATACCATCTACAGTTTTTGATAGTCTATAAAGTCCTACCAATTTGTTGTTTTTTCTTGTACAGACTAACTTGGATACCCCCTGAAGCCCTTGATATCTAGTCTGTTTAAAATAACATGAAAAGTAGTTTCAAGTACTACACTTGAGGTCATTCCTCCTCATCCTCTTCAATATTTGGGGGGTGTAAAAAACCTCTCTTTTCCTTTCAACCGTGATAAGACCCACTCACACCAGGGTAAACTAACCAACATGGAAAACAGTGAGACTATCACGAAATGTATTTAGATTCACAAAGTAAACACAATGGAAAAAAGCAAAGAAATAATCTCCCCTCTAACTTTTTCATGGATTGTAAACTTAATCTTAGTTGTTACTTGCCCTAGCCATGATATGTCCCCATATTCTAGGGAACTTCTTTCCATTACCCTCTTAACTATTTGGGTATCCCTCCTGGAGTCAGAGAGCTAATAGTGGGCTCTCTTGCTTGACCCCAGGTTTGAGCAGATCTCTGTCTGGCACATTTTTTGTATGCAACACTATACTTGAAAAATTTGAGTGTCAGGGTTGTTTGAGGCAATATTTGTGTGTCAGGGTTGTTTTTCAAATTAATTCCTATAGTTTATGAAGTATTGCCCAGGGACAATAAACAAAGCTTTGCAATAGGAGGCTATTGGTTCATTTGGATGGTTCTCTTGCTTCTCAACAGCCTATTTGTGCACAATATGCTTTCTTTTATTGCTTAATTTGAATAATGTTTAATGAAGTCCATTATACTACCTTATTCTGTAAAGTTACTTTTCAGAGGTGCTTTAGTTGATGCTCCCTGGAAAAAATATGTATTTGTGCTTTCTTGCAGAAAGCTCCCCCATGCTCACTTTACTACTGAATTCATTCCTGTCCTCCTTAGAAGACAACTAATGGGCCAAAATGTTTCTTTCAATGGCTTCTCATTTTGGATGTCCATATTTTGTGGGCATAGAGCCTATGTCACAGATCTGCTGGAGTACCTGCCACTCCAACAAAGTGTATGGTGGATATGTTCATTCTGAAAATCAAGCTCCTAGGCATCTGAAGTTGGGCATCCAAAAACGGGCATCCAAAATCAGAGGCAACTTGTGAAAAGTTGGACATTAATCTTTGTTAGGAAGTTTCAAAATCTTCCTTAAAACGCAGAGCTCTATGGATGTGAGTGAGGACTGCATTTGGTCCACTAAGTCTCTTTCCTTTATAATTCTGGTAAATGATATTATAATTTAGGAGTAGAGAGGTAGCCGTGTTAGTCTGATCTTGCTAAAACAAAAGGAAAAACTATGTAGCACTTTAAAGACTAACAAGATGGTATAATAGGTGATGAGCTTTCGTGGGCCAGACCCACGTCCTCAGATCATATTCTGAAAGAGAATTGGCATGATCATATATACCAAAGGAATACAAGGAAAAAAGTGAACACATTATTAAACTGACAGATCATATTTAGAACAGAAGGTGGGGCGAGGAAGAGGGAGGGAGGGAATAGCTGTTTATAAGTCAATGAATGGACACTGTTGGCACATGATGGCATAAATTATATTTCTGGACGAACAGGAATATGTGTCCTTGATCATATAACTGACATGGTTAGGTCCAGCGAAGGTGTCATCAGAGTAAATATGTGGACAAAGTTGGCAACGGGGTTTGTTGCAAGGGAGAGTTCCAGGGTTGGTATTAATGTGGTATGTCCTGAGGTTGTTGGTAAGAATCTTCCTGAGGTAGATTCTTAGGAGGCAGGCTTAGGCATACTTTTTGTGAAAGTCTGTAAAACTACCCAGTGGTTCTAAAACAGCTGTTCCCAAGAAGAAAACTTTGTCTATAATTTACTTAGTTGTGTAGAAACTAAACTTCAAGGACAAACAACAATGCATGGACAGAACACATGGTTTTTTGTAAGTGGATTCTTGATAAAAACCAAGGAGCTTTGTTTCATGACATAACTAAAACTGAACGGCAGTGGGAAAACTACTTCAGGAAGTCCAAACACAATATAAATCATAGTCAGATTTTCCATACCTTTCTAGACACAGGAATTCCTAAAATATCATACCCACATAATTCTATGAGGAATAGTCAGTTGATAAGAGCTTAAAGATATATTTCTCAAAATATGTCTGTAAACTGTATGTACGCATTTTTAACAAAAATATCAAAGGAACGGTATGTGCTGTGAACGAGATTTCCTGAATGACTACACCAAAGGGAAAATTAAATTAATTCTTGTTGCACAAAACACTCATGACTTTGCTATATGAATAAGAAAAGAGAAATTATGTAGATGTTAGAGCTGTCCTGGTTCTGCTAAGTGGAGTAACCTGTTGACAAACAAACAAATAAACCAAACACACTCCTGTCAAATTTCAGTTGAAAAAACCCCCAAAGAAACAGATATGTGCTTTTTTGCTGGTGAGTGATAATGATTGTGGTTGGCTTTATGTACTGTGGGCTGAATTTGGACCCTGATCTCTTGCTCCCTGATTGATCCTAAAGATGTTCAAGCCAGTATGGAAGTAAGCCTTAAGAAAACTGGCTCAAGAAGTGTCAAAATAAGGTGATGTGATGTATCTCTTGTGTAATGGCTGGAGAGTATGTACATTTTTTTACTTAATTTCATTATAAATGTTCTCTTTCTTGCCACATGCACACAGATACGTCTACTGAATGGACACCTATAGGATTAAGGACTGCAGGATCAAACCCTATATTTGCAATGGTGTCAATATGTATATCACTATTTCCAAGCAGTCTATGCCTGGCATTGCTAACTCCTTCAATGTTCTCACTGGTGGGACTAAAATTCCCAAAGCAGATCTGCCTCAGGAGTTGTTCAACTTGTACATTTTTGAAGTGTTTCTGTTTTCTAATTCTGTATCCACATTACTACTTAGACTATAAATTCTTACTGTATTTTTTGTTCTGTGTTAGCACAGTGAGGTCTTCGGCCATGACTAGGGCTCCAAGGCACTACTGCAATAACAAATAACTGGAAGACTTACTCGGTGTTGCTTGGGTACTTCAGGGCAGGAGGCTAGCACTGTGGAGGAGTGCAGGAGTCAGGGAAGGGAAGGGACTTGGAAATGTGAGGGGCTCAGGAGAGGTGGCTGGGGATGTGGGATAGTGGGGGGGTCAGGGTTGAGGATGAAGAGGGACTCAGGGCAAGGGATGGGGTTTCAGGAATCAGAGCAGAGCATGAGGAGGGGATCAAGTCAGGGAGTGGGGATGCAGGAATCAGGTAAGGTGTGGGAAGAGGGGGAGTTCAAGGGAGAGGGTTGAAGGCTCAGAGCAAGGGGTGGAGTGGCTGCCAGGTTCTCCCTGAGGTGGCCTGGGAGGCAGGTGCCATGCACCCTGCCCTCTATCTCCTCCCCAGGCGTCATGTGTGTGAGGGGACATTCTGGCCTCCAGCACTTTCTGGGCATAGCCTGAGGGTGGTGTGTGTTTGGAGGGGGTGCAGGCTGCTCACTGGTACACCCCAGGGATGGCCTAAGGCAGTGGGAGGGAGGGTGCACAGTGGCCAGCAGCTGCTCCACTGGGCAGGTCAGGGTGGCAGGTGAGGCTGACCAATGGCTGCTCTCTGGGGTGCTCGCTGCCCCCCCCCTTATGATCATGCCTGCATATAACTGTTCCTGCTATCACACCCCTCCCTTTCCATTTGATATGAAACAATCTTATTCTATGCACATCCCATTATCTTGGTACAACCAATGACCTTGCTTTAAGTTAGGATAAGAGGAAGCTGCCTACCAAATGTAGTGGTCTGAGCTCTTACCATTTAGGAGTTCTTGAACAAATTGACTCACAGATGGATGGACAGACAGACGAGTGCATATTTCTAAAATGTATTGTAAGATGCTACAGCTTGGTTTTTTAACTCTCATCCAGCATTCTCTCCTTCACATGTTCTAACCATCTGCCAAACAAGCCACCTGACAAGTTGTTTTACACTGAATCAGGTTTTTCTATTACAGGTTGAACCTCTGTAAACTGGGACTCTCTTGTCCAGCAACATCTGCACCACAGATGTTTCAGGACCAGAGAGTCCTGGTGGAGGGCTGGAGGCTGGGCTCCCCCCAGATGAGCTTCTTGGCAGGGCTGTAGCCTGGTTTGTGACAGCAGGGCTGGGGAACCGGGAGCCCAGCACATGTCATCTGGGCTGCCCAGCAGGGCTGCTTCACGAGGTCAGGAGCCCAGCATGCTGGGTGCTGGGCTGCCCAGCTTAGCAGGAAAGGGGGCGGGACCGGCTGGGAGGCTGGTGGCCAGTCCAGGACTGGGGCAGCCAGTAGCTGATCCAGAGCTGGAGTGGCCGATAGCTGGTTCAGGCCTGGGGTGGCTGGAAGCAGGGGGACAAGATCTGACCTCTCTTTGTCTGGCAAAATTCTTCATCCAGGACCAGTCAGGTCCTGAGGGTGCCAGACCAGGAAGGTCCAACCTGTAATACCACTTTCCTTCCATTTCTAAAGAAAAGGTGTAATCTAATATTTTCTATATAAATGGTCTGGTCCTGAAATCAATGGGATGTTTTCCATGGATTTCAGGCCTGAAGAGCATAAAACATTAAGTGCAATATTATAAAACCATATGCAATTTACTAATACAGCAATGTTTTAGACTGAAATTTCACATATGTTTAAGAATACTATCATAACAAATGTATGCTTCAGATTTTGTATGCTTCAGATTTTAAAATCAGTTATAATTACTGATAGCCATCAAGCTAACAACTGCATTCTACTATGAGGCTGTACAAACTTAAATCAAATTTAAATTTAAATTTAAAAATTAAAGTGTGTGGATGGCTGACCACTGACACAGGGAAAAAAAGCTCAAACCTTGCAATTTATACAATAGAGCTTGGATCCCAGGAAACATGCCGCCCATCATGCATTCCATTTAGCATTGCAACATCGTCTTCTGTTATTATAAAATCAAACACCTATGGAAATGCATATGGTTAATGTAAGGGACACAGAGAAAAAGCTGGACACTTCCTATTATTTAAACCCAGATTTAATTTTGTAGTTGGCTTTTCTATTTCCTTTGCCTTCAAAATGGTTCCTTTTTCTGTTACACAGGACTAGAACCTTAGTAAAGTGGGGTTGAGACACTTCCTTAGTCCTTTCCCTCTTTTTGTAATTTCTATTTACTTCTAGACTTGGCTACACTATTCCCCAGTAAGGGTGGGAAGAGAAAAGAAAGGTAACATGAAAGCTGCTTGTGACAGCATTACACATGGCTAACAGGAAAGATACGTGAATAACTTGATTGCAACTCTCTGCAAACCTGAGCTTATGATTTTTTTGCTATAGACAGACAGTAGGTCCAGAGAGTTGCAGCACCCCAAAAGTATTGGTGCTTTAGTCAAGTCAGCAAACCAAGAACTTTATACAGATTACAAAGTACAAATATCCCTTCAGTAATCATGGCGGGAGGATGATGCCCATTGTGATCTACTAGCAAAGTGTGTCATTGATTCCTTATCACTTAATGACTGGACTTCCACTATATTCACCAGAGCTCCCTTGCTCCACATAAAGAGACAGTGGAGTGAGCTACTGCCAGGCAAACTCCTCCCTCATCCTGCAAGATATGGCTGGTAGAATGATTTCTTGTAGCCATAAACTCAGTCTTCGACCTACTTAAACAGGAACCCCACCCTACGACTGAGGATATGTATTGCTGACTTAAGGCTGCCTTTGATCCCCTCTCACTCCACTCCATGTTCGTGCAGAACATGGATCAGTCATGGAAAGAGAAGCCTATGCCAAAATGAGGAATGAAGGGACCAAAAAAGATAGGAAAAACAAAAGCAAAATAGATGTTGCAAATTACATTTAAAATTACTTAATAGAAAGTTAAATGTCAAAATGTGACAAAGTGGTGCACGTGACTAATTTATATGTACATATACCTAGTGTTGTGACTGAAAGGCAAATGGATTCCTTGATCTGGTAAAGTTCATCCTCTTTTCTGCTAACCAGTCTCTGCAGAGAGATCTTTAGGAGCAAGGCTAAAATTTATTTCTGAAAACACACTTTTAGCTTTTGTAAAGCACCAGCTGACACATATTATTAAAAATGGTTCCTGAGGAAAGAGATAGAAGGACTTCACCCCACAATTTACTTGTTGAGACTGTGACATGAAGGGAAAGGAGGAATCAATTACCAGTCATAATTCTGTATAAAACAAATACTGGATGTCACAAGCTGAGATGTGAGTCTCCCTTTGGTTCCAACATCACTTGCTCTGTGCTAGGGAGGGAGTAAGCTGGGTGAGAGGTGACTATGTCAGCTCTGCAGCTTCCACACGCAGGATTTCCTGAACCTGGAAGATCCCTTAGGGCCTTTGCAACCTCCTTTGCAGAGGTCAAAGGTGGATCTCAGTACTACAGTGAAATCCACTATCTTCCTATGTGCCTAACACAATGAGGCACTGATCCTGATTGGAGTCTCTGCATTCTACCATAATCCTAATAATAAATATAAAGAAAATAAAACTCAAAATGTTGTTATTATTCCTTGATCAAACTGTTTGAATGCAATAAATTATCATACTGTGTGTTTTATACATAACTATGTCTTCCAATTGATTTCTTATATTTGCACACATTAGACAGCTGAATTTTCAACTGTCTTACAACAATTTTATGCTGCAGTAATTGACTTGATTTTAATGGAGTTGCACTAATTTAAAATTAGTATAGCACAGGGGAGAATCAAACCCAAAATCTTATATAAAAATAATTTGGGTATTAATTCTAGGAAGCCAGTAATCAAAATCTTACCTCACAGTTTTCCTGTACTCTTTCTATTTTTGTAGATTTGGGAATAGTGACAACCCCATTCTGAAAAATATAATAATTTTCATAATTAAAAATAAGAGTTATTTAACACAAAAACAGATCCATTTTCAAAACCTCTCTTAAAGCAATTGTTTAATCTAAATTTCCTTCTGAGGCTTTGAATCTGCTCTTTAAATTCACTGGAATGTCTGTGAAGCACGGTTTATAATCACAGATGTACATTATGTACTATATAAATTTCTAACGCAATTCATGTGGTTTTCATTCAGTTTCAAACATGAATACATATTCACTGGTTAGTGATAGATGTTGAGTGAAAATAAGAAAATAATAAAATTGACTGTAGCATTTACATTGAAAAAAATAAGTCTTTTCATTTGTGTTTCCTTTTACTTCGATGAAGCCAAAGGTAGATACTGTCATGTACAGCCTAGGACATTCCTATTACCCATTATCAAGCACTTAGTTCATGGGATGACAGCAGCAGTTCAGAAAATTACTATTTTTCTATATATTGTTATATTTTGGTATGACGACAACATATACATTATCTGAACGGAACTATTCCTTTATCTTTACTCCTCTAAGCATGCACCATTATCTTGCTGCTTCTTACCTGTATGCTCCAACGTATGCAGATCTGTGCAGGGGTTTTGCCATATTTCTTTGCCAGCTGAATTATATTAGGATGAGTAAGAGCTTCACCTTTAGCTAATGGGCAGTAGCCTTCAAAAACAATGTTTCTACTTCTACAATAATCCACCAGTTCTTGGGGCCGTTGGAAAGGGTGATATTCAACCTTTCATAAGGAAAACAGAAAAAGGGAAAATTGTATTAGAATGTATTTGAAGGACCGATTTCCCCATGATAATAAAAATATGGTTGACCTTTCTTTTCTTTTTTTTTTTAAATGTAATAGAATGACCATGACTGGAACCACAGTACTGCTGTAAGATTTACATATGGCACTCCATCATCTTTAGAAGACATGGAAAGGATGTTAATGCACAAACCCACTACATTAACTTACGCAGCAATTTTCCTGAACACATTAAGGCCTTATCCCTTGTAAGCATACCATGTAAAGCTGCTGCTTCTCCATGCCACAACTGGAGCTGCATTCTTGTTCATATGGAAATGATATTTCACAGCATTCTCGGGGAACAGCCCCAGATCTAGGCATGTGCAGTGGTAACAAAGTTCCTTTTGTTTTCTGCCATTCTACCTTCTTGCCCCATTTCCATTTTGATCCTCTTTTTAATGATATGCAACTAAGGGGAGCATATAAGTCTTTAATCAAAACAGAATACCCAGCACCAGGGCTTGGAATGTCAATGCAATGAGCACTGACATTGGCTGTGCACAGGAAGACCCTATATTATATGTTAAAGTGGTGTCAGAGAGATAAGGTGGTGGGTAGCAAGGACGAGTCTGGGCTTAGGTTTGCAGAGTGTCCAGGCTGGGGATGAAGGTCAGAGATTGCCAATAATCTGCAAATGGCTGGTGGAGAGAGTGAGAGTAGTAAGTAGCTAAGAGACAGTGATATAAAGAAGAGGAGGATGAAGGTTATTGGAGATTAAAGAAAGAAACCCCTTGGATAAACAATCAAACATTTTGCTGCTCGCCTTGCCAAACTGAAAGTTTGAAGGTTCACCCCAGAAGGTTCTTTTTCAAAAGATCATGAAAGATGTGACAGATTCCAGAGAACTAGAAGAGGGAAAATAACAGTGCCCATCTATAAAAAGGGAAATAAATGCAATCTGGGGAATTACAGACCAGTCATCTTAACTTCAATGCCCAGAAAGATAATGGCACAAATAATTAAGCAATCAATCTGAAAAGTCTAGAAGATAAGATGATAAGTAACATTCAGTATGAATTTGCCAAGAACAAATAGTGTCAAACCAACCTAATATCTTTCTTTGACATAGTAACAAGCCTTGTGGATTAGGGGAAGAGGTAAATGTGTTATCTCTTGACTTTAGTTAGGTTTCTGAAATTGTCTTGCCTTCTCATAAATAAACTAGAGAAATATAACCTAGATGGAACTGCTATACGGTGGATGTATAACTGGTTGGAAAACTGTTCCCAAGGGTAGTTATCAGTAGTTCACAGTCAAGCTACAAGGGCATATCGAATATGGCCCAACAGGGACCAGTTCTGGGTCCAGTTCTGTTCAATATTTTAATCAATGATTTAGATAATGGCATAAAGAGTACACTTAAAAATTTTATGGATGACACCAAGCTGGGAGGGATTGCAAGTGCTTTGGAGGACAGAATTAAAATTAAAAATGTTCTGGACAAACTGGAGAAATGGTCATAAGTAAACAGGATGAAATTCAATAAGGACAAATGTAAAGTACTCTACTTAGGAAGGAACAATCAGTTGCATGAATATACAATGGGAAATGACTTATTCGGAAGGAATACTGAAGAAAGAAATCTGTGAGTCATAGTCGATCGCAAGCTAAATATGAGTCAACAGTGTAAAGTTGTTCCAAACAAAGCAAACATAATTCTGGGATGCTGATTACACCTCAACCAGAGGATTGTGTCCAATTCTGGGCACCACATTTCAGGAAAGATATGGAGAATTTTCAAGAAAGTTCAGAGAAGAGCAACTAAAATGATCAAAGATCTAGAAATCATGATCTATAGGATTTTTTTAAAGAACTGGGCTTGTTTAGTTTAGAGAATCATAGAATCATAGAATCATAGGACTGGAAGGGACCTCGAGAGGTCATCGAGTCCAGCCCCCCCCCCTCAAGGCAGGACCAAGCTCCGTCTACACCATCCCTGACAGATGTCTATCTAACCTGTTCTTAAATATCTCCAGAGAGGGAGATTCCACCACCTCCCTTGGCAATTTATTCCAATATTTGACCACCCTGACAGTTAGGAATTTTTTCCTAATGTCCAATCTAAACCTCCCTTGCTGCACTTTAAGCCCATTACTCCTTGTCCTATCCTCAGAAACCAAGAGGAACAAATTTTCTCCTTCCTCCTTGTGACACCCTTTTAGATATTTGAAAACCGCTATCATGTCCCCCCTCAATCTTCTTTTTTCCAAACTAAACAAGCCCAGTTCATGAAGCCTGGCTTCATAGGTCATGTTCTCTAGACCTTTAATCATTCTTGTTGCTCTTCTCTGTACCCTTTCCAATTTCTCCACATCTTTCTTGAAATGTGGCGCCCAGAACTGGACACAGTACTCCAGTTGAGGCCTAACTAGTGCAGAGTAGAGCGGCAGAATGACTTCACGAGTTTTGCTTACAACACACTTGTTGATACAACCTAGAATCATATTTGCTTTTTTTGCAACAGCATCACACTGTTGACTCATATTCAACTTGTGGTCCACTATGACCCCTAGATCCCTTTCCGCCATGCTCCTTCCTAGACAGTCGCTTCCCATCTTGTATGTATGGAACTGACTGTTCCTTCCTAAGTGGAGCACTTTGCATTTCTCTTTATTAAACCTCATCCTGTTTACCTCTGACCATTCCTCTAACTTGCTAAGGTCATTTTGAATTATGTCCCTATCCTCCAAAGAAGTTGCAACCCCACCCAGTTTGGTATCATCTGCAAACTTAATAAGCGTACTCTCTATCCCAATATCTACATCATTGATGAAGATATTGAACAGTACGGGTCCCAAAACAGACCCTTGCGGAACTCCACTTGTTATCCCTTTCCAGCAGGATTTAGCACCGTTAACAACAACTCTCTGACTACGGTTATCCAGCCAATTATGCACCCACCTTATCGTGGCCCTATCTAAGTTATATTTGCCTAATTTATGAATAAGAATATCATGCGAGACCGTATCAAATGCCTTTCTAAAGTCTAGGTATATGACATCCACCGCTTCTCCCTTATCCACAAGGCTCGTTATCCTATCAAAGAAAGCTATCAGATTAGTTTGGCATGACTTGTTCTTCACAAACCCATGCTGGCTATTCCCTATCACTTTATTACCTTCCAAGTGTTTGCATAGGATTTCCTTAATTACCTGCTCCGTTATCTTCCCTGGGACAGACGTTTAACTGAAGAGAAGACTGAGATAGGACATTATAACATTATTCAAATACCTAAAAAGTTGTTACAAAAAGGAGAGAGGAAAAATATTTTCCCTAACCTCAGATGACAGGACAAAAAGCAATGGCTTAATTTGCAGCAGTGTAGGCTGGACATTAGAAAAAACGTCCCAACTGTTAGGGATGTTAAACACTGAAGTAAATTGCTCAAGTAGGTTGAGGAATCTCCATTGCTAGAGATTTTTTAGAGCAGGGTTAAAACAAAACAAAACAAAACAAAACACGTCAGAGATGGTCTAGCTAATATTTAGTCCTGCCATAAGTTCAAGGGATAGAACATCTTGCAATCCCTTCCAATCCTATGATTCTGTAACAAATGTTATTTTGAAAAATATTTCACAACTAGTAAATTGTAAATAAACCCAACCTAAATAAAAAACACACACACCACATCCCAATACATTCAGATCAAACTGAGTATAGTTTCTCCTCACATAGCCACTATATAATCATGTGACATGACTTCAAATCAGATAGCCGTCACTGTTGTTCCAATGATCTAGCTCTTGCGTATTTAGCGGAAAAATATTGTTTAGAACAATTACATCAACATGTGGAATCTGGAAAATTTCTTCCACCATAAGGACAAAAGAACATTTCCTGTTTCTCATCTTTAGTACATGTTGTCTTTTTAGACAACAATAGTCAGAAACAATAGGTTGGCATTTGTTCAATACATACTAAGAAACCCTGCCCCTTAAGGCTGGGCTGAGTCAGCCTAAAAACGCTATGATCTGTGCAGACTGGGGACAAGGTTCAAACAACAGACACATCCATTTCTTCCACCTTTGATGTTTCTTAACCTTTTAGTGGCCTTTGTATTTAATGTTTATATTTATATGGCCAGTGTTTAGATCACTGTTTTATTGGTTTGCTTACACCTGAATAGATTAGAAAATATTTCCATTGTTTGTTACACAGAAGTGTGACAAGAAAAAATAATAAGCCAGTAGTTCATTGCAACATACTGTTTAATAAAATCCATAGCAAATTGACTGTTTGTTTCTTATCAGACAGCGTTACGCTAAAAATGAACACTTAGAGAGCCAAGAAGTACTCAGTTGAGGGTAGGAATGATTTTATACTAGTTATTGAACACATTAATGTTAGCACATTTATTTTACAAAAGTACTCTTAGTCAATAAAATGATAAAATCTTCAAATACAGTAACCTAAGAGTGCATTATTTAATTAATAATACTGTATTAAAAGAAAATGAAAATAGGAATAGGATATTTAAGTTGGTTTTCTACTGGGTAGGTGTCATCAATACCTACAAATCATTACAACATTTTTCAAATGCCTAAAAAGTTGTTACAAAAAGGAGGGAGAAAAATTATTCTCCCTAACCTCTGAGGATTAGACAAGAAGCAACAGGCTTAATTTACAGCAGTTTAGATTGGACAACAGAAGAAACTTCCTAAGTGGCAGAGTGGTTAAGCACTAAAATAAATTGCCGAGGGAGGTTGTGGAATCTCCATTGATGGAGATTTTTAAGAGCAGAGGTTAAAAAATACCTTACAAAAGATTAAATATAATCATTACAATGTTATAAGAGATTAAATATAAAGATAATTAATTTTCTAATTCAGAACCAAATTCTACTCTGTTATACCAGAGTAAATCTGGAATAGCCACTGCTGTCAGATGATGTAATCTATGTTTACATCAATATAACTGCAAGCAGAATCTGTCCCGTAGACTTTTAAGGCTTCTGTATTATACAATTCAAGGTTATTTCACAAACATTTAACACAAGCATGGTATGCATCCAACTTGATGAACTGAATGCAGTGCTAAGGTTTCCTTTCTTCTGGAGACAACGAACACTGTATCATCCAGGGATTAGGGAGTCCCAGACGTCAAGAGCTGAATTCTGGGAACTTGTGATATTCAGCGGCATGGCTAGCTAGAGCAAGTCATTTTTTTACAGTCTTTTTTTAAAACTCAGCCCTAGGCATTCTTTTTCCTTTGGATGATTTTTCTAGTGATACTGAATGTGAGGAACAAATAATCTCTGGCTAGAGGAGGCACATGGAGAATGACTACTGCGTAAGCTTCCCCTCTACTAACAACTCCTACTTCCACATCTGCAACACCCATGCTATTCTAGTCCTAGATCTCTCTTGGAGTAAGTCCTGCTGTTCTCTGGCACTGCTCTTTACTGAGCCCTTGGATGTGTGTGTGGAAACCTGGTACATATTTAATAAAGGAGCTTGCAACTGAATTAAATCCCACTGGCCCTGCCACATATACTATTAGTTAATCACAAGGGAACCCAAAGTCAGCATGTTTTTTGTATAAGCCATACTCTTGTGGGGAAAAGATACTGAAGCTTCACAGATAGCTCCTGTCCCTATGGATCCAAAGAGTCAATTTCTCATGTACATATCAGATTGTGATTTGTAGAGAGGCTTAGCCCCTGCTCAGCTCTATTTCATGGTCCCCAAATTCCATCACCAGTAGAAGGCTAATTTATAGGAAACTTGAAGAAGGGGATCACACAGATTTTTCCTGCATCTCAGGATTTTACCCGTAACCTTCTCCAGAAGAATTGGTAATTCAGGCCATTATTTTTCTGTGTACAACTAAAATTTGGGCTAGGGGATTAGGTTTGGTGTACAGAATAGTCATTTTAGATCAGATTGTACACATTTCCTAAATAACTAAAATACATTTCTAACTCATGCCAACTATCATCATCAGTTGCATTAGCACACATTCTGTCTTCTTTATTCAAGCAGACTTATGGTTATATTTAAAATGTTTCTGAATTTCTTTACTGGTTTTACATATTTCATAGTAATTAAGAACCAGATTCTGCCACACTTATTCAGCTGGGTAGTATCTTTCTCTATATGTAGTCCATTGAAATGAATGTGAGTATATATGTAATACATTCTTGCAGAATATGAGGAAGGATAGCAAAATCTAGTCCTTACTGAGAAATACGAGTAGAAAAAAGCAAAGAGTTTCAAACCAAAAGAATCTTTAAAATGTGACAACTGTACACTGTTGTGAGGACTTAGTGTTGCCTAAGGGAGTCAGGTGGTCCAGTTTAGCTGGTCTCTACTTTTTAAAGTGCAAGCTTTAAATCTGAAAAAATATCCTCAAGTACTTTATTACTAAGATGGTGATTTGATACCCAATGTCTAGTTGAACATTGTTTATCTGCAAACTGTCAGCATCTGAAATTGGTCTTAGCTGCGACATCAGTCACAAACAGGTATGGTAAGACGACAACAACCCATGTGGGGAAATTATTTTAAAGATTTGTTTGTTTCATGTTTTCAGGTCTAACACTTTTTGATGAAGGGGTTTACTTTAAACTCTTGAATGTTTTAAATGTATTGCAAACACACTCACCTGATTAACATGAGGAGTTATCTTACAATCCTCCTTTAGTTCCTCCAAATGATTAATGAGAAAATTGCTTACACCAATAGACCGACATATGCCTAACAAAAGAAAAAGGAAATTAAGTAAGGCATTGTACAGAAGATGAAAAAGTGCTCTACAAAGTCTAAGTTGGGGGTGGGAGAGAGACTTGAAAATATAGCTTTGAGGAAAGAAAATGATTATACACTAACATCTGCATAACAGAATATGGCAGAGACTGACAGACAAACCAATATTGAAATTATTTAAAAGCATGGTGCTATCAGAGTCCTATAACTAAAGTGTTTTATAACCTAAACACATTGGAGGCTCCCCAGTGTATAAAACTACAGGCTAAATTCTGGGAAAGACTAATGTAGTATAAGCAAACAACAATTGGATTTCACCAGAATGAAAAGAAGGAAACGGTGTTCTTAGCAGCTTGCCAAAACTAAAGAAAAGTGGAACATTTGTAGAAAGCTAATAGGGAATGAGTAATAAAACACAAGGACACTCAGTCTAAATGAACTGCCCGCTATTTATATTGAAACTAGGTTAAAACTATGACCAAAATTTATATAAAAACCACATTTACAATGAAATATATGATAAAAATCAGGAAATTCACAGGATCAGGTAAAATACCTACACTGGATTTCTTGGCTTCTGTTAGTGTGCATTTAATGTATTTTAACAAAATTTAAAATGAGTATGTATAGAGACCTGCGCAGATACAAAATTTTGTATCTGCATCCACATATGTGTCTACAAAAATGAGTCACAGATATCTGCATCCACATCCGTTGATGTGGACACTCGTGGATATAAAGAGGATAGCCACAGATTTGCAGTACTAAATATGTGTGGCCATGGTGAGTTAAATGCCCTCTTTTACCTATGAAAATGGCATGGCACACTTCACAACAATACCCTGCCACAGCCCTGACCAATCCTAATGGGGGAGGGAGTCCCTGGTTTCTCTGTTGATTTTGTTATAATCTCCTTTGGCTACCCGTCAATATGAGGAAGACATCTGCCAACAGGGTTACTTGGAGGGATTTAAGTAACAGGAGCCTAATTTGTGCCCTGCAGATTTTCACACAGAAGTGACAGATATAATCTTTGAGGAGACTTAGTTGTTGGCTGGATTGCAGTGCTCTGTCTTTCCTTCTCTGTTGCTTCTCTGTCTCCTCAAAGTGCACTATGGCTTAGTACAAAGTAGGGGTGGGCAAGACCACATCCATGGGGCCAGATCTGGCCTGCCAAGCGGGTTGATCCAGCCCATAGCCGGCCTATTGCTCCCCCGCTCTCAGGCCCCACCCCTTCCACCTGAGGCCCTGCCCCTTCTAGGCAACCCGTGACCACTTCCAAAATTATGAAGTGGATACCGTTCAAAAATTATTGCCCACCCCTGGTAAATCTTGGGGCGTATCTGTCAGCTCTTTATGAAGTGTACTGCCTCCAGTTCTTTGTAGACTGGGATTTATATAACAAAGTATATCACCACAACTAGGGAAGGGAAGGAAAGGGAAGGGGAGAAAAGGAGAGGAGCTATTTTGGTTTCTCCTGAAAATACTTCATCAGGCAATGTCACATGACTGAAATTAAGGTCATTACTGATTAATAGTCTGATTTTAATGCCACTGCTTGCTATGGAACTGAGCCCCACACTCATTGTACATATATAACTGCCATGAATGGTAATAGGATTCACAGATACTTTAAGAGAAGAATTTACCTTGATTTATAATTTGGAATAAAGTTAATGGAAACGTTTGAGAAAATTTTGCCATGTAGACTTCATTTTACACCTATACACACAAATTATACATTTAAAATGCCAAAACACCATAATCCACCAACAGAGTGTAACACCCAGCATTTTTAAAAGCCTGTCTGATTTTGAGCTACATGGCTACAAGGCATTTTCCAAAATTAGCATATCCATTACTTAATTTTGTTAAAGCAAATCCAATTATATACTACTATGCAGAAATTTTGTAAATCAAGTTACATCACGGTGCTAATTTATACATCCCTGTAAACCCCACTCCAGTAAAATGGGGTTTGTAGAGTTAATACTGATACTTCTTTAATCAGACACACTCTCCAATTATGTCGATTTTACATATTCAGGAAGGACAAGTGGATATATAGTAAAGTAGTAAAACCTTATACCATCAATTTTTCTAATATGGTTTTTGTTTTCAGATAAGAGAGGGAAAAGAAAAATTGTATCAACTGTAGGGCTAGAATATTCTCATTTAGAGAAATGATCATCTGCTCAGGACGTATAACATTAATCAGGTTATGACCTATATCCCTGCAGTTTGCATAATTTGTATTTAAACTGCCAGAAGGGGTCAATACCTAGCTTTAGGCCTTTGGTGACAAACAATCCTGCAGCATCCACACTAATAAATCATTATGCCAAAGAAGTCAGAAAAACATTTGCAGTTTAAACATGAAGGGCACACCAAAATAATATACATTATTGTCAGTGAAGAATTCAAAAAAACCATTCTTTTGTGTTTCTTTTTTGCTAATGAAAGCATTTATTTTAAGCTATAATACAACAAATCTTAGTATCACAGAAGCAAATATAAAAAAGATTTGGTAGATCTTTTAGTCTATTCCCAGAACAAGCTTAAAGGATTTTTCCCTGGAATATATTTTCAAGTGTTTTGTTTACTGCAAGTTCATATACCTCAAGGAATAAGAATTCTACAACTTCCGTTGAAAGGTTATTCTATAGCCTCATCAACTTTATTTCTAGAGAGATTTTCCTAGATCTCCAATCTAAACTCCTTAGTTTGATTAAGCTCTACCCTTAGTCACACTTGACTAGCCTCACTGAAGTCAACAAGGTTGCACAAGAATATTAAGAGGCAGAATTTAACCCTTGTAGTGATATATCTCAAGATTGGCAACAGCATTTGTCAAAACTTTTCTGATAGAAACCTCTGATTAAATAAAAAAGTTTGGTGGGAACATACCACTTTCATCAAAATTGCTGACAGGAAATGACTGCAATGCTTCACTTCAATGAGAACAGAATGTGTTGTTTCATCACATTTAGAATCTTTTGTTTCAATTTTTAAGTTTCATTACATATATAAAAGTCAAAACTTTTAGATTATCATACAAATAGCAAAAATAAAAAATGAGATAAAAAGAAATGATAGGGTATTATCAAAAACAAAACTCTAATGTTTCAACATATCCAAACATTTAAAAATGCAATGTCAATGTTTCAGGAGGAGGAGATTTCACCTCAGTATAAGAAACACAAAAGGAACTAGTGAGAAACTAAGGTGCTAAACAACTATTAATTCTTTCAGTTCCCCAAAATGTACAGAGTCAGATCACACGAGGTATGTCTACACTAGCCTCCTAGTTCGAATTAGGGTGGCTAATGTAGGCATTCAAACTTGCAAATGAAGCCCAGGATTTAAATATCCCGGGCTTCATTTGCATGTTCCTGGGCGGGTGCCATTTTTAAATCCCCTTAGTTCGAACTGACTGCCCGCGGCTACACGCTGCACTCAGAAATTAATCCCCTCCTGGATTGAGGTGTAACAGTTAATCCGAACTAAGGACTTACTTTGGATTAATTTCTGACTGCCGTGTGTATCCGCCGGCAGTTAGTTCGAACTAAGGGGATTTAAAAATGGCACCTGCCCGGGAACATGCAAATGAAGCCCGGGATATTTAAATCCCGGGCTTCATTTGCAAGTTCGAATACCTACATTAGCCACCCTAGTTCGAACTAGGGGGCTAGTGTAGACATACCCACACAGACTTTTCTTCCAACTGGTGCACAGCTCAAGCATCACAAAGCAGCAATTGGTTCTGTCCTAAAGGTGGAGCTAGAGATTCTGTTGGTATAGCAGAATATTCAGATAATTTTGATGGCTCTATAGCACCTGCTGGCATAATCAAAATGCCATAGTAGAGTATTTGAAGGGAAATAAGGGAATGGAAAGAGGCAGTGTATATTCTATTTAAGCCAGTCTGCGCTGTTGGAGACACACTGGTGGAAAAGGGTTTATCTACATTAAACACAACAGCACCATTGTAGAGCTTCAGTGCAGACACTACCCATGCCAACGGGAGGGATTTTCCTGTTGGTCAAATAATCCATGTCCCTGAGTTGCAGTAACTAGGTTGATGGAAAAATTCTTTGGTCAACCTAGCACTGTCTATACAGGGACTTAAGTCAACTTTTTCAAATGTCTGAGTGCAGTTCTAGTGTGTACCAGGCCTTCAGTAAATGCAGCTGAGAATTGAGATCACATTAAAAACCAAAACCAAAACCTAGTTCAAATAAATGTTTCAATAATTATATATCACTAGGGTTCAATCATTAGGTATCCATGTTTAATGGTAACTAGGAATATAAAATCCTAATTAATCAATTAACCAGTTAAACATTAAGTTTGCCTAGCATTAAACTGGTTAACTGACTAAAGGGGGATCTTGGATCCCAGCCACCACCAATGTAACTCTTGCCTGTGGGGTGCCCAGACACCACACGAACAGAGGCTGCTTCGGGCATGGGAGAAGCCCCTGCCTACAGGATGTCCAGGCCCTCTACAGACAGGAGCTACTCCAGAGGAGGCTCCTTGTGGGGCTGGAGCAGCCCCTTGTCCACAACAGATAGGGAGCTACTCCAGCCCCCGCCGGTTATCGGTTAATTGGATAACTGGTTAACTTTTCATATGCCTAACAGTAACCCATTTAAAAATGTATGGTAATGCTTTACATTTTAAAAAATAAACACATGCATTTTTCTCTATAAAACAGAATCAATGTCAGCAGTCTAGCATTCATGAACAACATTTACAGAAAAATACCAATGTGTGCATGCAGTGGAGAGCGGCAAGTATTGTCAAGGAAACAGTTGCATGTTTCAAAGGGCTCCTTTACAAACAGTGAATTAAAAGGAAAGAGGCTTTAAACTATGGAGCCAAATTCTGTGGTCTTTACTCAAGCAAAATGCCCATTGATTTCAAAGGGAGTTTACTGTGCGTGAGAACCAAGGAAAAAAACTAAGTAAAAATGTGGGCAAATCAAGTTC